TAATATGGGTTTTGAGAGATCCTCTTGATTAAGACCATAAGAGAGAAATAAAAAATGTAGAACTATATATTGCCATAAACAAAGAAGTTCACAGCTAAAAACAACTTTCCACTTTCTTAAAATTATTTTCAGACATTTTCCCCAACAAAATATTATAAGCATAATCAAAGCCCGCACATTCCATGTATTACTAACAAAATGCTCCAAAACACAACACAATTTTTTTTTTCAATAGTAAGAAAATCCTTACAAATAAGTTTAGATTAGTCTTTAGTATTCAAATGTGCAGTAGTATAAAGTATTACCAATGTCTTTAGGTTTTGTTAGCAGGTTTAATAATCTAAGTAGGTTGGTTGTTTTTATTGTAATTTTTACTCCATTTGGTGAAACAGCTCTAAGCCGTGCTATGGGCAGAGCTATCCTTTAAAAATGGTTAGAGTAAATTGCTTGAGCACCAAGCAAGCTAGCTTCTAATGCAGATGAGAATTCAGTTTGTTGCTTTGTTTACTCCATATAGTATTTGACTGAATTTCTTTCTTTCTTTTTTTATTCTTTTCCCCTACAGCTACATCTTTCAGCAAGTCACAACTTCAACCTCTAATGCCTTTTAGTCGAAATCATTCCTGATCACTTTCCTCTTAATCTCCCTTATATGCTGAGCTTAATGAAAGGTGTGTTGACCTGTTCTTCTACTCTTTTGAGTTGCAAAGGATCTGTTTCCACTAGACATGAGAGAACATGATATTATTAACAGGTTGAAAATAGGCAAACTATTAGCATCTTAAGAACTTAAACGTTATTAGAAAATTATGATCCAGTTATCTTTGAGATAGTCAATGAACTTTAATTCACTACATACATTTACGCGATCCTTTGAAGCTGCTGATGGATAATATGTTGAAAAGAGGTTCTCTGCCACAAACTATTGGAGGGCTACCACAAGATCTATTTACAATGTCATCCTACCTCCAGGTAAGATCCATCCCTAGAACATTTGTGTCAACATTTTTCGTGGCGTCTTGCATCTACTTTCATTCATTGTCATCTCAATCTAATGTGCTGCGCTTTCAGTGTCACTTTTCACATTCGATATCTTTAACTGTACCTTTCCATCTTATTAGATGGCCACATATTGCGATTAATTATGCTTTCATATAAATTTTCACTCTACATTCATGTGCTTCAAATTTATCAAATGGGTAAAAATGAATATTGATGATCCAAATGACAGGTTCTGGCAGATATCTTACCTAAAGAAATACTCCAATGGAAGCTACAAACATTGAAATCTGCTTCTTCATCCACAAATTCATGCCTTCATGCTGTAAAAGCTCAAACACTGATACTTTGCAGGTTATTAGTCATTGGCATGTTCCAATATTCAGTTTCATTAGCATCAATTACCTTTCAATATTCTGCGCGTACAATGATGCCTTATGAATTGTTGAAATGAAATTCTCTATGCTTGTCTTGATAGTGGACGAGATGAATTGCTGCCTAGTCAAGAGGAAGGTAAAAGACTTCAGAATGCTCTGCCGAAATGTGAGATTCGTATGTTTGTTGAAAGCGGTCTTCTCTTCTGGTAGGTCTCTGCTATTATGTAGGCATTAATTGGTCAACCAGACTGCAAGTTTCATTCTGATAACAAAGGGAAGCTTTTATTTATTTTGATAACCGAGTGGTGGATTTTCCCAATTGGCAGGAGGATAGTTTCGATTTGGTAATGAGCATCAAGGGTGCTAGCTTCTATCGTCGTGGAAAACAGCTTGATTTCGGCACAGATTACATTCTACCAACACCTTCTGAATTCAAAAAACTATATGAATCACAAAGGTAAACGTATCACTCAGCTAAGAGGCTGGATCCTATTATCCATCTGTCGTTTAGTGATTACAGCTGAATTAAAGATTATTCTACATTGAAGAATGAAGATATAGTGATCAACCCCTTCTACCCTCTTCCCCAAATAGAAAATCACTCGGTTGTACTTGCATTAAATCTTTGTCTTTGGGGCAAAATTCAAGCTGACACTTGCTCATTATAGGAATTATTGTCAGTCATTAGGTTGTGTGGAGCCAAGTTGTTTTTGAAATTCATTGTCTCAAAAATTATGCTTCTCCCAGATGCATGCTGACTTTAACTAGCCCCCTGATGCTCTCAACATTAGAGAACGGAAAGGTGGTGAGAGGTCTTGCTGGAATTGCTTCGGAAGGGCCAGTCTTGTTTGTTGGTTATCACATGTTCATGGCAATCGAAGTTATTCCATTTATTGGTCTACTTATGATTGAGAGAGATATTCTTTTGCGAGCACTGGCACATCCAGCAATATTTATAAGAGTTAACGACAGCAGGTTCCCTGATCCATCAATGTTTGATATAGTTAGACTAATGGGCGCAGTTCCTGTCTCAGCAACTAACTTCTCAGACTTATGTCTTCAAAGTCTCATGTCCTGTCGTACCCTGGTGGCTTGCGTGAGGCTCTTCATAGGAAGGTAAAGACCTTAATATTTATGGTTATACTTGTATTGATCTGAACTTTTATATTCTGAATCTGAAAGCAATTCAGTGTGCATCATTTAATTCAGACTTCTCATAAAAAAAAATAATAAATAAAAGGCTTAAAACTAGCATGAACTTTTATTTTTCAAGTTCCATTAGTGAATTGAAAGCATTTAAAGATGGTAATGAAGGGGACAGACAGATTATTCTCTTCTCAATTCTCAAAAATGATGGAAAAATTTTCAGATTAATTGAGGGGTAGATTTTACTATTTGATGCAAGGCATCCTTTACCCTCCCTACCACATACATGCACCATGGATTAAACTCAAGTGTAAAAAATTTACCAGGGTGAAGAATACAAGTTGTTCTGGCCAGAACAATCTGAGTTTGTCAGAATGGCAGCTAGATTTGGAGCCAAAATTGTGCCTTTCGGTGCTATCGGAGAGGATGATTTTGCCAAGCTAATTATCAAAGAACTATTTCCCAAGTTTCTTGCTAATTTAAGATGATGTACGCACACATTTTCTTCGTATTAAGTTCTGGTCGGAGAAGTTTTAGGTAGTTCTTGATTATAATGACCCAGTAAAGATTCCATGGCAAAGGACTCAAATAGAAGAAATGACAGAGCTGTCAATGAAATTGGGGTATTCATAGTTGTCCATATTCTCCATATGTACCTTTACAATATCTTTTTCTCCTATTGTCTATTGAGTATTCTGTAATATGTTGTGATGATAGGCCTGATGCAACTGGAGAGGTGGCAAACCAACATGTGCATACGCCATGGGTGGTACCAAAATTTCCAGGCCGGTTCTCCTTTTATTTTGGAAAGCCAATCGAAACTGAAGGTACGTGAGTCATACTAATAAATACTATTCTTCAAAAGTGAACAATCTCAACAGAAGACGATTGACTTCACTTAAAACGAATTCTTCTATGAAGGGATGAAGTTGGAACTAAGGGACAAGGGGAAATGTCAGCAACTGTATTTACATGTCAAGTCTGAGGTTGAGAAATGCCTTGCTTTCTTGAAAGAGAAAAGAGAAAAAGACACTTTCAGGAATCTATTGGCTTGGTTATTGTACCAGGCCAGCCTTGGCTCCACAGCCTCCGCATCTGATATTCCAACCTTTGAGCTTTAAATTTTTGTGCATTAACATGGTAACATACTTATATGTCGTCTATAAAACTTGTCTAAGCATTATCAGTATTCTAGTGTATTTATTTATTTATTTTTCTTGGTATTGTAATCTGCATACATTTTTGCAGATTTTACATTTTTTGACGAAATAATTCTATTCTTATAAGCAATTCGTTATTAAAACAATATACGAAAATTAAAAAAAGATATGAAACTGCATTTCAAGGGCAACAAGTTCATTACAAACGAGCAGCCTTTTCCCTTTCTCAAAATTATTTTAAAATATTTTTCGTCCAATTATTCATAAGCTATGGCTTGACTTTTGAGCTCTCATATTTCTGCATTATTATTATTATTATTATTATTACTATTATTATTATTATTATTATATCCAACCAAATTGGTAAACATTCTCAGTATCTAGCAAATAGGCCCTGTTTCCTTAAAAAAAAAAAAATAGGCCCTATTAATTAAAGGATTGCTTTAATTTTTATTGTTTTTGGAATATTATGATATTTAGGCTCCATTTGTTTTACTAAAAATAATTTTTATTTGTTTGGTAAAAAATTAGTTGGTCAACGAAATATGATTTATTGATCAATGAAAAAATGAGTTCATTTTTTTAAAATTATCTTACGGATTTTAAAATATATATATATTTTTTGAAAAAAAAATTGTTTATGAGTAAAACTATTTATCAATATTTTTTAATATAATTTTACTTATAACTACTATTATATTTATAAATAAATAATATTATATTAATAATAATATAATAATAAATATTATTAATTTAATTAATAAATAATGTACTATTAATATAATATATTAATAAATATTATAATAATATATGAATAAATAATATATTATTAATAAATAATATACTATTAATATAATATATTAATAAATATTATTAATAAATATTATAATAATATATGAATAAATAATATATTATTAATAAATAATATACTATTATAAATAATAATTATTAATAAATAATATAAAAATAATAAATAGTTTCATTTTAAGTATTTTTATATTAACATAATATTTTATATATTAAATATTATTATTAAAATATTATTATTTTTTAATATTAATAATTTTAATAATAAATAACTTTAATATATTTTAATAATAAATAATTTTTAATATTTTAATAGTTATATTAATATTATTTGAAAAAAATTTTCCAAAAAACAACCAAAACAACAAAAACATTTTTCATTAACTCATTCAAATAACAAAAAAAAACTTTTTAATTTAAAAATATATATATATATATTTATCAAAAGTTATTTTTTAAAAATTAATTTTTGGGAAACAAAGGAATTTTAAAATCACATTTATTTCACTGCTTCAGTCGTTTGTAATAAACTTAATTGAATGCATGCATGCATACATGTCCATTGGGCGTAGAGTAACATACCCAAAGCCCAAGAGTATAACTCGGATAAACAAGCCTTGTTTCGACCTGTTGGATTTTGGGCTTCTAGTGTCTCCAAAAAGTACGTACATTGAAATGGGCTTAAGAAGCCTTGCTTCCTCGAGACCTGTTCAGATTGGGCTTCTATTTTGCCCAAAAAAGTGGAAACCCATCCTGATCACGGCAGAGATTGGTCAGGACTCGGTCCAATGGCTTTCAGGGAACTCCCATTTTACCACCATTCTTGTTTGTTTCATCTCATTCACTTCCATTTTTCCACCATTCTACTTTGTTTCCCTTGTCTAGTCTAGAAACCTTTTCGTCTCTTGCTTCATTGAAGCTCTTTAAGGTGAAAGCAAAAATATTCATAGTTTTCAACAAGGCTAGGAGGCCAAGTTTAACAATGTTTAACCCATCAAATTATTTAAGAATAAAGGTATAAACAGGTTGATAAGTGTTAGTGCCATTTCGAGATGAGATGACTGAAATGAAACATGTGATAACCATGTACAAAGTCGGCAAAAGAAATCATGCTTTGGTGATGTAAATTAGATGTTTCAGTTGCTGATATCGAAGTATCTCGGGTCTTCTGGATAATGGTATTCCACGTTCAACTGCCATTAGACAACAGCCTTATCAGACATATGAGAAGCTGAAAATCTGAAGCGACCAGAGAAGTGAGTTAGTATATATGCATGAACAAAGGTAAATTGCATTACCTTGCCCTCATCAAAATCTGAATGGCGTTGAGGGAACACAACTCTCAAGTCATTGTATAAATAGAATCTCCTATTCCCATCCCTGTCAAAGCCAGTCTTTTCTGGCACTGATCCTGGATCAGATTTACATCTCTGAAATGACTTTGAACATTTTTTAGGGGAAGGGCATAGGAATCGGAGATGAAGAGCATAACGCAGTGAACCAGCAACATTAGTGTTTTCATTGATCTTAGCATAACCATGGGAAAGTTTCCGGTCAGTTTTCTGACATGCATTAATGCCGGTGTTGTCCTTGCATTCGTCATTGTTGCAGCCACTCATTTGCATTGATTCCAGCAAATCCAGCCCTTCAGAACCACTACTATCCACTCCACCTCTATTATGGCTTAAAGAAGAACTTTTCTGTGGGGTTGGCCTCACCTTGTTATGGACATTGGTGTCAAAACTTATATGCCCCCGTTTTAGCTCTGCAGAATTTGGACTAGAAGATGCTAGTGTAATCTTCTGGCGTACAAATGTCTACTTTGATTTGAACAAGCAGAAAGAGCTTAAAATTAGAAACTTCATCAAATCAAAATGTATGTGCAGATAATAAGAATGATACTAATTTGCAGCGCCTTAAGACATTTTGGTATTTTCATTTGGGTTGCACTCATTTATGGAAGTACAACGATATACTTGACACCAAAGCAAAACCGAAACTCAATCCTTTCACTGCATTTTAGTCAACCATATTTATAGAATAATGATAATTTGTAAATTGCACGAACTTAGTACGAGATTTTATTTATATCATTTGTGTAACATTCGAAAGTCTTAAATGGCTAACCAAGATATAATCCAGAAAGAAAATGCAGATTAAAATTCATCTTACCTTAGTACCAGCTGGCATGTCACTCAGATCATAGTTGCAAAGGAAAGTGTGAAGAGGTGTTTTCTCTGGATTGCTAAGAACCTGCATACCCACCCAAGAAGAAATGAACCCATTTCTGACATAATACCCTAGACAGGATGAGGATATCATAAAAAGTCTATAGACAAAATCATTTTAAAAAGTCCTAAAACAAATATGTTAGGGAAAGAAAGAACAGGCCACTAGGATAGCCAAATTACTTTAAGTATATCAAGGTGAACAAGGTCCCACATGCAAATCACAACTAGGGTGAAAGAAAAGCATGATTCAAAAAAGGTTACAGAAGCATGCTACAAAAGCTCAAAAACAGACTACCAATCAGTGCCAGGCCTTTCTTGTTAATTAGAATGGTCGTTTTTGAGTTTAAAGAGATGATTTAATATTTTAGAACTGGACCAAATCTTAACTCATAACATCAAGATACTCAGAAGCACCCAACCAGATACTGGAGAGAAGCATATACCAATTGTATGCGCCCTTTCATAGGAATACACAACCGGCTTCTTACAGGTTGTGATCCATCATGGCTAAGGACTCTTTTAAGCTTTTGATCTCGGCACTTATTTGATGATGAATTCCTTGAAAGATCTATGGATGCATAATAGAGTAAAAAGCAATCTCCATCCACACTGGTTACTGAAAACGGAAGCTTTTGTGATTGTGGTGAGAAGGCCCCTCCAGTTATGCTTAGAACAGCCAGAAAACCATCAATCCTCTATGCATAGAAAACATAAGTAGTAAGCAAATGAGTAATGCAGACATTACATTAGTGAATCAACAATTTACTACACAAACTCAGAATTGAACCCAACATAACTTTACAGTATAACTAACCTGACTGAGTTTTCCAGAAAAGAACCTTCCAGACAGTAGCGACTCCTCAAATGAACCAACCAAGGACCTCCTAACAGGAAGTCCACTCAAACCTTTGATAAATCTCATACATGGAGATGCGGGGCCTGTTTCCTGACACGAAGGCCAGCTTAATCCAACAGCGCTTTCCAGAGAAGAAGGGTGAAATTCTTTTTGCAAAAACCCAATATCTTCAAATGATCTGTTTGTAATCTCAAACTCCTCTTCTTCAGGGGCAAATATAATACCAGCATCAAACCTTTCAACTGGTTGTTCTATATTCTTGAGGGTTGAACAACAATCATCCATATCCTTTTTAAGATTCCTGCATCCTCCTGCAGTTGTCATTCTTTCACTGAACTTTGGGCCAAGTGGTGATAAAGAAACAGGAGGTAAGGTTGCCATTTGGGGAGATATAGATATTTCTCCAGTTCGGGACCTCACCTTACTTGATTTTCGGAATTGATCAAGCCGAGTTGAATACAAAAAATTAGGTTCCTTGTTTTTCAGTAAAGGACCATCCGTGAAAAATACAGATGCAGTTCCAACTTTGTCAAAAGGGATGTTTCCATTTTCCAAGCAGCTCGACAAGGACCAGGATGATGCTGTGACATTCACTTTACTGCCAATATTTGCTTTCTTACTGTCTTGTGAGACAGAAACCCTATGCTTATCAGCTAAGGAACAGGAGTTCACTTGAGTGCTTCTGTAGCTAGTGTCCAGAGGGTCACCTCTAAATTGATCTGAGTAAAGCATGTTATTTAATGGTGACAATAGTCGTTTCCTGACTAAAGACCCACTGGAATCTATTTCATTAGCTTTGACACCAACAGAAGAAGAATGAACAACCTTACTTGTCCCTTGTGATTCAAACCCCACAATCCTAGAAACAGGATTTTGGGCCTTCCGTTCACTTCTAGGAATGGCTAATGATCCAACCACATTGGCAGAGCCAATCTTGAGACCATGAACAGTAGTTGAAGCATTCATTTTACCTCCAAATTTCAAACAATCATCTGAAAACTTTGAAAGCTCCAAAGAAGTCTTCCTCTGAAAATCTCCTAGCGAAGAACACAAAGAATCCCCAATAGTCTGGCTCAACCTTCCTCTGTGCATTCCATCTAAATCACAGGTGCTGACACCTCCAAACCGAGGTGGGCTTTGCAAAAATGCACCCACTGATGCTGCTTCATCTTCCTCAGCACTATCATCTGAGGAAACTTGTGGCAACCCCATCGCTAAAATTGCAGAGAATGGTGTACTGACTTATCCAAATGGAGCTAAATAAGTTATTCTCCCTCTTCCTTGCTCACTCGTGTTTGCCTTTTTTACTTTTATACAATTCGCTCTTTTCTAATCAGTTCTAATTGTTCAAATTCATCTAGAATATAAAAAGAATGGAATTCAAGTCTTCCAATTCTAACGATGTCACTGAAGAGCAATGAAATGGTTCCAACAAAACTAGTTCCCTAATAACACTATAGTACTATGTATCTACCAATGGCATCCACATTTCAGCTGCAATTCTTTTACGACCCTCCATTGAAAAAGCCAAACACAAACTAACCATCCAACGATAATGAGTAGCACAGATCTTCTGACCTCCATACCAGCAAACCACAAAGCACATAGAATTCATGTTGCTAACAAGAATAATCACCGTGATTGCCTGCAGAAATTTTCCAATAAAAGATCAGCTGAACAAGAAAAAAAAAAAGAAAACAAAAAGGAAAACAATCAGAATTCAGCTCCAAGCATAAAGCACGGTATTGACCAATTTGGACTCCATCAAGTTCTAAATTTAATCCAGCATAGCCTTAAAATTTTTCCATTGAACAACAGAAATCCACAAAGAGACAGACAAGCCGATGAATACTATGAGATAAGACAAATTCAATGTTCCTTAAACAGCTCCTTCAATCAACATAAAACTCTTATTTTAAAACCAAAATGAAAGCAAGACAGCGACTAAAGTACCTGAAAATCAAGACAAATTCCAATCAACCATGGATCCAAAGGAAAAACAAACTTGAAAACCAAAACCCAGAATTTGTTTTCAACCAAAACATTAACAACTAACAAATGACAAACAAGGAAGCCCCTAAAGGCCTAAATTGTTCCCTTGAATTTGAAACAATCAAAAACACAAAAAAAAAAAAAAAAGAAAAGCGCACACCACTGAAAAGGGGTTGCTTCCAACTCACACATTCACCAGCATCAATCAGAAGCAAAGCTTATTAAGTTATAACCATCAGCATAAAGAAATTAATTCAACAAGTCAAAAACTAGAAAAAAAAAAAAAAAAAAGATAAATTAAAGAAAACCCAAGCTTCATCAGCATAATTTAGAATTAAAAAGACAAAAAATTATATAAAGAAACAATCAACAGATTAAAGTGATTAACGGACGCACCAATAAAAATGGTTGTGATCAAGTACTCTGCTAGATAAATCATTTGACTGATCTGCCCATAAATATATACGGGTTTATTTACCAAATTAAATTGGAGAGGCTCAAGAAGAAGATTGAAATTTTATTATGCAAAACAACAAAATAAAGATTGAAACTTTAAAGGTAAATTCAAATTAAAAATGAAAGCTTCGATGTTAAAATTTTCTTCTTTCGCGTCTTTAAGGAGAAGGAAGGGAAGGAAATGTTGAGCATGTGAGTGGGAAGATGACATCCATCTCCTTCTGTTTATAATCCCCAAATTTTGAAAAAACAAAAAGAAAAAAGAAAAGAAAGAATTTGAAGTAAAAATGGAATTTACCATCCTATTTACATAATTCGCCATTTTTGCTGTTTTTTTTTTTTTTGGTTATTGCTGTAAATACCTTTTTTTAAATTAAATACTAAATTTAAATCCCACTTTGCACCTATCTGATGTTAACCTTCTTTTTACATTGGTTTTCCTTTTCATTTTTCTGTTTAAATGAGTGAAGAATAACTGATTAGATTAGATTAGATAATTAAGCAAAAACATGAGATTTTATGTTTAATGCAGTTCAAGTTTCAACTGTTTAGGTGTTGGTTAATAAGAGAGGAGAGCCAATTGACACAGCAAGTTGGCCTCTCATACCATCAATCAAACCCCAATGGTCCAACAACCACCCACAGCATTACAAAAAATGTTGGCTTTTAAGCCTTTCCAGTTTCTACTAGTATTCCCCCATCAAACTTGCTCTTTGATTTATTTTTTTCATTTCTGTTTTACACAACTTTTTTTTTCCTTTCTTGTATATGCTTCTATCTTTCAACTTTCTTTCTAACCTCATTTCTTCTTTTGTTTTCTAGCAATGTTGAAAATTTTGAATGGGTCATAATCATAATCATGGAAAATAGGCAACAAGACTCCAACATTATTAACTCGCTAACAAGTTGCTATAAGAATAGAATTCTCTAGGACACATGGCATAAAAGCCAGAGCAGTTCGAAGCTCAAACAGCGGAGACAGGATGTAGGCGCCACGATTCATCATCAACTTGTTCTGTTCTTTTAACTTTGTAATAGTAATATGTTCTTGTAGGGTAATAGTAGTAAGTAGTAGCCAATTTTCTTCTTCCAAGTCATACACTACACATTCTAGTTCTAGTTCCATGTATCCACAATCATTAGAAAAAAAAAAAAAAGCCGCAACTTGTTGGGCACTTAGAGAGAGTATTTTGCTGCTTTTTAGGCATTCTCGCATGGTCCATAACGAAAGGTGTGAAAGGCTCATCTCATTAGTCATTACTTTGGTATCAATTATCTCACCAGAAATGAAAGATTGTGGGAAAAATAAAGGACAATCATGCCTAGGTACATGGTATTGTTAGGCACTGTTGAAGCTTAATGCGTGTCTACCAAGAAACTCGTACATTCCAGAAATTTGTTGTTCTGCCAGAACACTGGTGAGCAGAACTTCCCATAGCTGTTATCATATTGTTGAAGCCCATTAAAGCTCGAATTCTAGTCACGGATTTGAATAATTTTATCTGTTTGATGTTTCTCTCCAGGGGCATCTTTCCAAGCTGCAATTCATGCTTGCAAAAAGGCTGCAAGTCTTACGAATATCATTTTGAGGTATTAAAACATCTTGTCCGTCACTGTTCTAAGGTTAGCTTCAAGCCAGAGGTTACTCATTAATGGAGACCATGCAGTTACCTCTGAATTACCCACTCTTGCAATGATCAGACAGATAACAGATTCTGAAAATGCAGTACAGTGAATTACATTCAGATTGGAGAAGAATACAGTATACACTAACTAATCTCTACAATGCTCCATGGCAATAACCATGATAGTAGCCTTGAGTTGCAATCGTGGCGTTGGTCTTCTGGTTATGTTTATCCATACAGATTATTATAGCATCTTCTAAACTTTAAATCTAAATTAAAATAAATTTAAAAGAGTACCAAAAGACAAAGGAAAATTTTGTAGAAACCGTGGCAAATGATGAAAACACATTCCTTGTTGGCTAAAATGGTCTAGCTGCTGCTTCCATCATCTTTTTAACTTTTATAAGTCTTTCTATCTCCTTGAGAACCTGAAAATATCACAGAAAATAAAACAGAAAACTCTTTTATCGATACCTGCATTTAACACCAAAAGAAAGAGATAAAATGTTTGCACGTATGTTTCTCCACCTCCATGGTAATGTCTTCTGTTGACACTGCATCCACGTCCTCATAACCTAGCTTATATGCTACTTCTGCTAAGAAGTTGCTAAAAGTTAAAACATAGAATATATTGTTTATTCTCAGAAAGGAACAAACATTACAGGGAAGTACTTTGAATGGAAATAGATGCATCTGCCGTTGCATATCCTATTTTCGTGTCTTTGTAAAGAACCGTTAGCTGGGAGAAAACCTATCATTAATGAAGAATTGTCAGCAATTAGCAAGACGCAGGACGTTGGAGAGAGTGTTAAGAGTTCAAACAGAGTAGATTTTTAAATAAGATCCCAAGGAAGAATGGGAAGGTGATAAAACTAAAAATGAGATCAAAGTCCATACCTCTGAATAAGATCCAGAAATAGCTATTTGTGATGACAAAAGTTGACTCTTGTTTTCAATTATTTCCTTGGCTACCAGGTCCAATGGCACGTTAATCCATATCGAGATGCCATGCCTTAGAAGTGCCCTATTTGTTGTTAAGATAAAGTCAGTTAAAACAGAAAGAAAATTAATACAAACTGAGAAAAACAACTAATTCAACCAATGGTGCAAAGATAGTCATACAAATTAGTTGAATCTTGAACTGCACCATCACCAGCACACACCACTAGTCTACCCATGGATGATAACTGCTTCAATACTTCAGTCTGCAAAAACATTTGAGAATGACTATAAGCCAGATTCTTATATATATTAATCAATGCTGTTGAGAATTTCACTAAAGAAAGCCTTCAGTAGATTGAAAACTGATCTATCCTTCCTATTAACTGACAAATAATCAACATATAGAAATGCCAAAGAAGTAAAAAAAAAAAAAAAAGAACACCTCAAACTCCCGAAATCCCTTTTCATCACTCTCCTTTAAGGATATGGCAGCAGATTCACCCCCAGCAGCTTCTGAGACCAAAGAATCACTAGATATGGAAGAAGCCAAAAACAAGTTAAGCTAAGACATCTTCAACTATAAAATCTATTCCAGTGACAGGAGAATAAAATACCTATCAAAGTAATAATATCGTAACAAATCAGCTAGTAGTTTTCCCAAACTGGATTTAATGGAGTTGTTCATCCCTTTCATGTCAGAGAAATAATCAGCAAACATGTATTAGAACCACACGCTAAGGAGTTCAAATTCATTTATCAGCATTAAGCAGATGCTTACCCACAAGAAATATAGAAGTTCCTCTAAGATCAGCGGATATGTCCGTTTCTTTCTTCTGAATTAGACTGAACAGTTAAAATGAGCACTTCAAACCACAAGAAAATCACCAAAGTAAATTCTTTTTTTTTTTTTTTTTATGAAATCCCAGGCTTTCAAATTGTGATACTGATTTGGAGTCCTTCATCCAAGCTCCAATTAAAATCAAGTTAAAAACTTTCATCTCAAAAAAAAAAAAAAAAAGAAAAATGACCTTCAAAGCAATGGAGGGATCCACAGTAGCAGCATTTGTGGCTGAAACTCAAAAGAGCAATAAAGCAAAGCAAGAAACAAAAGAATAAAAAAAAAACTAAATTAGTAAACAAAGAATTGTAATTGAAATTGAAATTAACCCACAATGACAATCTCACATATAGCAAGCATAATTCAATCCAGAAATAGTTCCATATACTAACAAAAGCTATCGAAAGACAAGAAAAACTCAAAGCCAAGATAACTTAATGAAATAGCTGCTAAAAAATCTAGTAAAAAAAGCAGTTTTTTTATAGGGAGGATTGTACTCACTGGAAGTGGGGTCATCAGAGAAAGAGCGATTGGTGGAGATAGATTTTCGAGGGGGAGGCCTAGAGACGTTTAGACATGGAAAGGGAAGAGAAGTGCGATATTGGATTGTTGTTAAGAAAGATCGTAGGAATTTTGAGTGAAAGAGAGGAGTGAGAGAAGAGTGATAGATAGTTGCCATCTCCATGGAAGGAAGCTCAGGCCTGTCTCTGGAGTTCTTTTCAAGAACCTATTGCGGGACTTCATCCATAAAAATCTTCGATTCCCACTAGATGTGTTCAGCTCGAGATATTATTTTATTAATTAATAAAAAGTTATTTTATTTAATTTATTAGGTCATAAAATTGTCAATAGATAAGATGTTAATTATATTTTATTGTATTTGATTAATATATAAAAAATTAATATTAAAAAAAATTAATATTCTCTTGAAATAAAATTATTTAATTCTCTTTTTATAAAAAAAATTATTATTTTTAATTCATAAAATTAAACTTATATATTCAATTATATTTTTAAAAATTATATTAATAATTTAAATTATATAAATTAAAAAATAATAATTTTAATAAATAATAAATTATCTTATTTTAATCTTTACATATATCAAATATAAAATAAAATAATATTATATAATTTAATCTATTCATAATATTATTTTATCATATTTTATTATAATCTTATAAACCACAAATTAATAGTATTTGCAACTTTTAAAATATTGACGGATAGAAGTAGCATCCAACCCTAAACTGTCTTAAATGGAAGGATTTTGAACTAATACTCGAGGCTTTTTTAAAAATATCTTAATGAAAATTTTGTGTTCATAAGCTATTTTCATTAAATAAATTAAGTACCGCTTCAAAGACCAAACTTAAATTTACTATTTTCGTAACTGATATATATGTAAAAAAAAAAAATGATTCGTACATAAGAATTTCTCTAAAAGAATTTAAAGTGATAAACTAATTAAATTTCAATCAATAGAAACTTAAAAATTTCTTAAACTTAAAATAATTACATAATTTTACCAAAAAAATTGGGATTTCACTGAGTGCGATTGTACAACTTCAAATCCGTCCCTATTAACACATTGCCGGAGACATATTTACAAAGCCTAATCCAACCTTTTAGATAATGAGACTTGAAAAATGCAATCCAGCGTGTTCATTGGATTTCGAGGTTTTTGTCAGCTCCCACCTGCATCCACTTAAAATTTGCAACTATATCAATAGATTAAACTTGAATAATCGACACTGGACTATGAGCAGAAAATGATTTTCTTTCAAAGAGGATCAAAAGGAGGAAAAACTAGACTTTTTCCTACCAACAACAAAAGATGACAAATAATCGTGCGGCAGATATAATTCCAAACAATATTAAACTGTAGGAAAAGTAATCAAAGGAAGCGCCAATCACCTTTGATTTGGCCAGAATAAGATGCCACTTGAGAAGCATCTGGTACTGGTTTGATGTTTACAAGGGAAATGGGCGTCAATGGAGGGGATGCAACCTCTCCATCCTTGTCTGGAACTTGTGGAGCTTCCAAAAGCCTGGAAACATGAATTGCCAATGCTCTTTGATTGCTAGAGGGTATAGAGAAGCTTCGAGGGACAATCAAAGGTGGGGTCGGAAGAGGAGATGCACCACTTGATGCCACAGAAGGAATATTACATGTAGAAAGCTCTTGATTTCTTGAGACTAGTGGGGCAGAGTAACCAACAAAGGCAGGAGATTTAGCCGGCTTGGCAGCTGAACCACCAGGAGGCCTTGGAAGGGCATGAAGCTCATTTATTCTGGGTGAAGAAACAAGAGGAGGTGAGCCACTTGGGGATACTTTTGGTGGTGATAATGGTGGAGGAATTGGCAAATGAGAAGTTACTGAAGAATCTAAATGGGGAAATTCAGTAGGGGCAATGGGACCACTAGCAGATAAAACAGGCTTTGTCGACAATTGTTTACCAGGTAATGGACCAGAAACGGCTTTCCTCTTTATTTTTTTAGCTTTGGAGGAGCTATCCAAATGGGAAGGTACTAGTCCTTCAGACAAAGGAGGGGGCAGTTGTGTAGAGGTATTACTACTGTTGCTCTCCTTGAGGGCCGACTCAGATTTCAAGATGGTAACCTCTGATAGTTGATCATCAACAGCATCCTTGTCATGCTTCTTTTGCTCAAGTGGGGAAGAATGCCGCAAATTCTGTGGATGTCCAGCTACATTTGTTGGCCTTGTGTGGGTATTTGAGTTAATTGTTCTTGAAGAGACTGCAAACTTTGAATCATTTGGTGTTGGAAGCACATATGTGTTAGTAGATGACTGCAGCATCTGTTTTACTCTTTCAGAAGGATCAAGCTTCCTTTCTGGAAATATGGGGGCTGAATAGCTACCCAATCTATGCCCCCTACTTGGGACCTGAATATCCCCATTGCTTTTCTCCAGGTTTACCTATATGCAGTCAATAATAAAATATATACTTTAAAACTGCATATTATAAGCAGCAAAACTAGCAAAGTTAGAAAATTCATAATTCTAAAAGCCTATGTTGTCTCACAAAATAGGGCCAAAAATCACAAATTATAAATGGAGACGTACCTCTGCATTTTCCATCTTTGAACTCTGGGGAAATGAATGACTTGCTACATCAACCTGGAGAATAAGCCACCATATTTTAGGAATAAAACAAAGGTGTCAACATGAACACAAACAGAAACAGATCACGATAAAAGCTCAATGTAGAATAGTCACAGAAATAACATTTACATCATCCCTTCTGTTAGAACAAGAATGAATTGAACCACTAATCTGACCAAAACAAACTACGAATCATATGGAGTTCTGGCCTAATAATCAAAAATGGAGAAAAAATTAAGGGAAAAAAGGCAAAAGGCCAAGTAGATAAGTTTTGGTCCTCGTTTGTCCATGTCATGTATGTTTGAGGGTGCAAGTCTCACTTACAAATTGACCATAACAGCTTTATAAATGTATTAAGAAATTTGCAATGGCATAAAAATCTGACCTCCATTGAATTCCTTGATGCAGAAGTAACATCAACTCCCTTCTCATTTGCTCTATAGTCAAAACTTAATTCCCCATCTTCATTTGGGTCGTAGGCAATCTCACCATCTTCCCCATCATCATCTTCAAGGCCAGAAAACTGGTAATCAATATGTTGCTGTTCTGTGACCTGCCTAACATGGGGCTCAATTGCCTCAAGTGATTTAAGTCCTCTCCTAAAGAAATTTAACTGCACTCACAAAAGGAAATGAATGCAAAAAAAAGGGGAGCGGATTATCAGCATTGAACTTATAATAAAGCCGAAGCCACTGACATCTGAAATTTTCAGGAATAGATTAAGAAAACCTGAGCTGCATGGTGACGAGCAGCTTGTGTTAGAAGACTTCTGGATTGCCCTTGCTTCAAAGATTTCAATCGGAAAACACAAAGGGTTGCCACTTCATTATAATCATCACGAGCTGTTTGCAATTGCTGCAAAGTGAAAGTATCACCTTTTCCACCTTTTGACCTTCCTTTTTCTTTGTGTTGTGTCACCATGTATTCATAAACATTTCTGAAGATCATGAACCAAATTCAGAAAAGGTTTACTGCAACCAAAGATAAATAAGTCTGCAGAGAAAAGTGATGGACCTTTTTTCATCACACAGTCTCTTCATATCCTGCATCCACAAACAAGAGAAAGGCCACTAAGCAAGGTAATTGTACAAGAATATTTATGAAGATAAGAGAATTATCATTGGACATGAAAGAAATAAAGGTGAAACTTCTGATTTCTTAATTAAATAATAGAGAAATCCAGATGAACAAACCTCAACAGTCCTAAGCTCATTGAGAAGTGACTCTGATGGGTTTGTGATTGTCAGCAATATATGTGAGCGCTGAAGCACAAAGAACATCAAGAAATATTCAAATAAAGGGACTATTAAAAAATACAACATAAGGAAAAAAATGGTGGAAAAAGGTTTAGTTTGTTCAATTTAGAAATAAGGTTAACACTCACATAGTTATCCACAAGTTTCTGGAGTTCAAACTGCGAGTTTCCCAACATTAACAAAATTCTACCTGCAAATAAATGCTGTGTCATTACAGCATAAACCATTATATCTTAAAAGCATGGGCCAGGGACAACATCTTCATACACTTCCTTGCCATTCAACCAAAAAGAAGAAAGGTAACAGTTGATAGTGAAGTACGCAAGCACATGGTTAGTTGATGTCTATTTACACAAGCAAGCTCAAACATTAAAAAAATGAGATAGGACATGGAATAAGGAACATCATCTGCCCGGTAAAAGTTGCTATGTTCAGTGACAAATTCCCTCACAAGTGTCTACATACAGATGCAAGTTGGGAAGGGATACCCATGAATAAAAGTACTGAAGTACGTAACTAATATGTTAAGGAGAGAATCACACAGGACAATGACATAGCTTAAGTTGTTTAAGATGTTACTTGAACTACTTGGCAGTTCTATTGCTTGATGATTTCTGTATCCTTACTCAAAATAGGAATATTTCAAATTAAATGATCAATTACGAATTGTGGTTTAGCTTTTCAGGTCTTAAAATTCCATACTAGATCTACGCAACATGCCTATTAATGACCTAATAGTGAAAACAACTAAGAAGTAAAAGACTCTACTTACCGCTTTCTTCATCATCAGGTAGCACTCTTTTTTCCTGTAGAAAGGAGCCCATTTCTTTCAATGACTCCGAGAATTCTGAAAGTAGAAATCTCATCAAAGGTAGATCCATTCAACATTATGTTTCATAAAGCTTAATTTTCTTTGATTTACTGTAATCTAACACCTTGAGCAAAGTGACACCCAGATTGTGAAACAGTGTATAAATAAGAAATTCTTTTTGTCAGATGTTATGTGCCTATAGATTCATACAGATTCCACATCAGCAAACCCAGGAGTCAAAAATACACAGATGATATTGAACATTTTTTATAAAAACCTAATCATATTTTTTCTGAAATCAGTTGTTTCTTCAAAAACGACAGTTGCTTTTGGATGGAAAAGCACCATACAACATGTATTTGGCATAGCCAATAATTTAGAAATACCAGGATGACAAGACACAGTGATACTTAAATATATATATATATATATATGAAAATATAGCACATAGCATTTGTACCATATGCGCTGTTTGCTGTTGCTGCAGCTGCAGAAAGTAAGCTATCATAGCAATTTCTCATGTCCTGCATATCCTGTAAACACATCCAAATGAAAAAAAAAAGAAATCCAATTATAATCTTTCAAATTAACCAAGACAGCCTCCAAGAAGAATTGGTCATTAAGAAGAGGATGTTGTAACCAGTTCAATAGCAATAGAAAAGCACAAAGCTTTCATATTTCACAACTAAATCTTATGAGTTTCTTTCATACTGGAATCTAGTGTTCCACTTTTAATTATGGAAATTATCATATTAAAACCATCTACTAAGTACTCATACACTAGAATCTAGTATTTCACTCTTAATTATGGAAATTGTTATATTAAAACCATCTACTGAGCGCTCATACACTATTATTAAGCATAGAAGCCTACAACTTCACCATAGCTATACTAGTCAATAATGATCTAGATCCTCTCCAATCCTTAAGCATTTCAGATTTTCTTGACATTGAACTACAGCCTGTAGACTAATTTGACATTTCCTAATACCAATCAAAAATTAAATTAATTCATAACTTAGAAAATTTCCCCAAAATTACAGAATTAGAAACTCGCTCCACTCAACTCAACTCAACTCAGTCCAACCTTTCAATTACGTTTCCAATACTATTAAAATCATTTCTCCACTTCAAAAATTGAAACAAGAGAATCGAATTAAATTCCCAATTGACAAAATAACATTAACCGGCACTTAAATCAAATCAAAGCTCAAACATAATTAAAGAAAAGAAAACGGAAATAAAATAAAATAAAAGTACCTGAGCTGCTTGAGCGAGTTCACTCAAATGAGCCGAAGGCAAAAAATCCAATTTATCCTTGCCATCGTTCTTGTGAAGCGCAAATCTTCGAAGTTTACCAATCGAAGACTTCATTTCCCAAAAAATAAACCCTAACGCAATGAGACAAACACAAAAAGTAAAAAGAAAGAGAGAGAGAGAGAGAAAATCCAAGGGCTCTTTCTTTTCCAAAATTCCTGTGAGAATATAAAAATGAAAATTGAAGCAATTTTTGCGAATTTCAACTCCGAAAATATGAGCTACAGAGAGTGTGAAGTTGATCAATTCGATTGTTTCAATGGCATTGAAAGTGAAGCGTTTTTCCCTTTTTTATTTTTTATTTTTGATTTTCCTTTTTTGTTGGTCAAAAAAACTGACGCTAAATAGATCAACTAGAAGGGAAAGACGGAAACGAAAACGAATATGAAGACCAAACGGAGGTTTTTTAAAATAAAAGGGTAAATTTATTCCACCATCCTTAAAGTTTGAGGTGAATATAGATCTTATCTTTAAACTTTAAAAGATAACATATTAATCCTTATCTTCATCAAATCTATAATTGAATCATGCAAAGATTTAAAAAATTAACATATTAATCCTTATCTTCGTCAAATCTATAATTGAATCATGAAAAGATTAAAAAAATTATAAAGTAGGATAATAGGTTGATAATATCATAAATTTAAAATAAAAAAATATAAAAAAAATAAAAGTTGATAAAGTTTTTTAATTTATTTTTATGAATTTTAAATTTTTATATATTTTATTATTTTTTGTGATACTAATTTTTGAACTAATTAATTTTTTTATTTAAAAATTTTTTTTTGTTAAGTTGCAATTAAACTTATTCATAAAATTGAGTTGTTAATAAGATTTACAAGTTAGATTCCACTCAATTTGAGATTTAAACTCAACTCAATTAAATTATTATTTTATTAATAAAATATTTTTATTTAATTTTTATTTTATAATATATTTAAAATTATTTAAAAATTTACGTAAATAAATTTTAATATTTTAAGTTTTAATAATAAAATTGGCCTATTCGAATTTTTAGTGGATGAGTTAAATTAGGCCTTGAACGAGACTTTGAAAATATTATTCAGATTTGATTCGATTCATGAAAATTTTTAGCTACAATTTAAATAATTAAATTTATTATTTTTTATTAATAAGTGATTATAATATTTCATTGAATATTGTAAACTAATATTTTATAACTAAAGAACTTAATTTTTGAAGAAATATTTTATAATAATGAAATATTGTAAAATAAATTATACATATTAGATGAAATATTTTATGATAATGTATAATTTAATTGTGTGTTGTAAATAAACAATAAATAAAATTGAAAAAAATAAATAATTTTCATTTTCAATATATAAAACTTCATTTGTCTATCTTAAAACCAAAATCAAAAAAATATTTACTAACAAAATTAAAGGTAAAAAATAATTTTATTTTTTATAATTATCAAAATTGCTAATATTAAATAAAATGTTCTATTATCATTTTTTATAATTTTAACATTTAACAAATGCATTAACGATTTTGTTAATAAAATGACTGTTTTGTTATGATCGTTATAATATAGGGATCAATATATTATTTTTAAAATTTAGGGTTTAAAACAATACGTACTTCAAACTTTAAGAATTATGAAAACAATTTATCCAGAAAAAAAGGGGATCATTTTAAGAAAGGGTTTTTTGGTAGTTTAACAAATTTATATCATGATCCAACGACCAGCGAGTTGACAAGTAGACGCTGTAACAGGTAGACATTGGGTCCACCGCAAAACAAAGGAATTTTTTAATCAGATTGGTGGAGTTTAGATTAAAAAGCTGTCGGGAGCGATGGAGGGGATCAAGGGGAGTGTGGATCCAGTTTGACGTGGCGGAATAAGAGTGCTTGATTTGGTGGCACGAGGAGAATTGGACGTTGAAAGTTGCAGTTTCGTACAAAACGAAACGGTCAAAGTCAGATACCAGTGACGATGAAAGAAGCTATCCATCATAGTTTGACCAAAGTGGGTGGGTCAAATTTCATTTTTTCAATTCCCAATTCTACCCTCCATTTTCTTGTTAACATACAAGATTAGAAAATATAATTTGGTTTTAATCATAGGATTATAGAGGTAATTCCTTGTTCCAAAACATCTCTAATTATTATTATTTTGACATTCAAACATTTTGGACAACTTTATCAATGGTTGTACTTTATTACATTTTGAATTTAGAAATTTCAAGTCAAATTTTCCCAAAAAGAAAAAAGCTTATTAATACACATACTTTGCTTAATATCGAACTGTTTTTATAATAAATGTTGATTTTTTTTAATTTGATCACTAGATGATTTATTGAAAAGTAAATAAAATAAAAATGACAGGTTTAGAATGAGATACATGTGGTTCAATTTTATATTTTTTTTTATAATGAATTTTAATGAACGGCTTACCTAAAATTGGTTATTAATCAATTGAAGTGATCATCAATAGGATTAGGGTTGACAGCTCAATTCGATTTTGACGGATTTTGATTTGACCCAACAACATAAAGTCGATTTTTTTTTTAATTGAGTTTCGAATCAGATTGGATCGGATATTATTAAAAAAAAATCAAAGTCATATTAGGTTTAAATTTTAAGTAAATCCCACATGATCTAACCCGATATTATATAAAAATTTATATATTTTTTAATTTTTATTTATATATATAATTATATAATTATATATTTATATTTAAAAAATAATATTTTATATTTAAAAAATAAATATTTTATTAATTTTGAATCGAATCGAATCATGTGTAGTTTATACAAATATCAAGTTGGTTTCGAATTTTTTTACTATAAAATCAGATCGGATTCAGAGCGAATAAAAATCCGTCTTGACTCATCCTATTCTAACTCTAAACAAGATGATTAATGTATGCTGATTCTATAATTATCGAACAATAAGAATATATAAATGAAAGTTTATAAATTTATAAAAATTTTAGTATTAAGTGGAGTTTTTAACAGGATTTGAAGCAATTTATTTGAGGTTTTTTTTTTTTTTTTGGAATGGTTTGGTTAGCAGTGAACCATGTTTTGATATGCCATTAACCAAACAAAATTAGTGAATTGAATTAATGTTGAATGAAAAGCCAAGCAAAACATGATGAGGTGAAAGTCTTTGTTGTGGTCACTCTGTCCATTAAGTTCACTCACTTGATGCAATAACTAGATGGGTCAACCTCGATTATGATCTGAACACTTGTTTGGTTTTGTTTTGCAACCCTTGGAGCCAGCTTTTGCCCCAACCAGTAGGGAAAGGGAAAACAAAGTATCCTAAAAAACTGTCAGTAAGGAAGAAGTACCCCCCAAATTTGGGCACACAAGACACAACCAAAGTTTATGACTAGTTTGGCAGTTGTAATGGTAAGCAAAGCTAGGTAGGAGCTAGAACACATATCTGACCAAGAACTGTTATTGATATAACTGGAAGGTTAATACTGAATTTGAAACATCAGAGCCCGGACAAACAGTGGCTTTTGATTTTAAGATAGTAGAACATAACTAAGGTTTGACAGAGACAGAAAAAGAAATGGAAGACAATGTATTTTTGAATGAGGCTTGAGGACTTTCCTTGGTCAGAAAGGACAAACAAGGATGAAAGAGGATCAGCCATTTTCAACGGGCCGTCTTTCTGAACTGTATTAATTATTACCATGATATCAGCAATTTGGCAGGGAAGTTTTGGGTTCCCTTCTTTCTTTCTTTCTACTTTTTCTTTTACAACACACAGAGTCCCAACGGACAAAAGTCTTCCACCTTACTGTGTTTGTCTCTTTGACTAATGGTTCATGGATTTCTCCCTTTTTTTTCCTCTTTGATGTGTACTAAAAATTGGAAATATTAATGCCCTTGGTCAATTTGTGTATCTGACCAAAGTGCACTAGAAATAACCTTTTTTTTCCACATGCTCTACCAAAAAAGTTGAATGAATAGATATTGACTTTGTGGTGCTAAGCCTCAATTCAGATATATGGGGTTTTGAGAGAATTAAGCTGGCAATGGATTGGTCCTTCCTTCTCCTATAGCACAGGGAAGCAACCAGTGATGTTTAACTGTATAATGTATTTCATTTCGACACATCATCAGAAGCTAAATGCCTTTTTGTCTTCAAGAAAACAACCCAAATCTTAAATACAATGTTTCTGGTCAAAAGGAGATCTATAAATAAATAATTCAGAAAGAAAATAAATTCTTCTTTTTTTTGCAAAATAAATAATTCAGTTTCTCCTGTGAAGAAATGTTGTTTGCATCTCCTTAAGAAAATACGCAGGTCACATGTCAATTTTCCTGCTTTATCTGATACACAAGAAAAACAAAAGGGAAAATTGTCCTGTTCCTTCAAGAGCCTTTCATTCTTGTAGTATCACAAAGAAACCTTGCAAATGGGGTTTTTGATGCTGCAGGAGGAATAGGATTGGTATATAGATTGACAATTAGACTCTTAAAATACTTTTAACTTTTGCTGAACCGGTCTTGATTCCTTTTCCCATCCTACCTCTCCTCCTCAATCGATTTCGTGATCCCTGCTTAAAGAAAGGAAATAAAATTTGTTAATTCGAATAGGTATCAGGGCAAATCTTTAGGTAAAATGTACCTTTTATCGTTATCTAAATGAAGCTATACCATCTTATTTCTATGCATATTCATTTCACCAATGCCTTCATCTCATTCATTCAAGCTATTCATCGAGAGTCTAATTCAGTTCACCAATTTGCTAATGTTGAGTTGGGTTTGCATGTCTGTGAAGAGCCTCCGGATGGAGTATTTTAGCATTTTCTTTTTTATGATTAGCTTGGAATGCAAATAAATAGGTGTATGAACAATTGAACATCCTCCTAAATAAAATCAGGTTTAGGATGTTGAAAAACTATAGCTTCCAGAAGCTTAAGGGCTTAAGATCAAGGTTGTAATTGTTTCTTACCATTCTATCAACTTACTTTCGAACATAAATTCATACCTTCTTGTCATTTTGAACATAACACTGTTGTTTGTCCTTTATTTGCCCAGCATTACTATGACCTGTAGCACAGAAATGATATTTAAACTATTTGTTGGTAATAGGTTTTACAAAGGATGAAAAAACCAGGAACTATCAGTTTCAGGAATCAGAATAATAGAAAGATTATGGCTCTTTAGCATAGTTGTGTGCCGTGCATATTTGAAGCGACATTTCTGCGCTTCTTCTTTTCAGCATTTCACATCAATAATCCAACAAAAACTCAGTCTTTCTTCCTAGGGAAACAAAATATAAAGCAAAAAAATGCAATAAATGTTGCCTAAGTCATTGTAATTTGTTCATGTTTATGGGTTCCTTTACAGCATATTGCTTCTACTTTTGAGCTATATTTCCTATCCTCATTAACATATAATTCATTCCTGTTATAAAAATAAAATATAATATAAAATTGCCTAAAAATTTGCCTACCTTCGCTGTTGTCATCATCAGACAAAGATGGAATGCAATATACCCTGAAACTCAGGGATCGAGGATACTCAATGCTATCATCTCTGTCATGTCCATCCTCATCACTCTCTTCCTTATCACAGGTGGCCTCCTCATCCTGTTCAACCCTCTCCCTTTGAATCCCTCCTTTATCCTCAGAATTCACCTTCTTGAAACTCTTATGTTGAATATCACCCTTTGCATGCTCTTCTCCTTCGCCGCCTTCATGCAACGGCTTGGATAACAGGCTATTATCCACAACAGCGCGATCATTCCATCGAAGAACAGTGCTTAATTGATGGCATGGCGAGTCTGCTACCTCTTCTCCAATGTCAAACTTTGAAACACCACAACCCATCGAAGGAGGAGAGACATGCAAAAGGAACAAAGGGCATCACCTAATTCAGTTGATCATATGGAAGAGTTTGCTGCAACTATGGTCTTTTTTTATGAAAAAAAAGAAAAAAAAAACGTTTTCATGGAATGAAAAAAATTAGAGAAATGAAACGAGAGATCCAACGAGAATTGTGGTTTAGCTAGATAACCACAAGAGGCTGAAGGGATTAAATTTCACTTTCATTTGTTAGCAGTTAATTATATTATTGATCACAACCTTCCATTTTTTTAAGCAGACAGATAATAATTACTGAATTATTGACTAAATTTGTAATTGGGTACCATACTTTAAAAGGGAGGGTTAATTAATAAATCAAGTCTAGATTCAACACAAATCTTTTTCCAAGTACAAACATATAGTAGTACCTTAAGCATGCAATGTGAATGTTAAGAATGATAAAGGTATTTAAGAAAATAGGCGCCTCATACATGGCCTTTGATGGAGATATTGAAGAATTAACTGTACAGAATATTAGCTCACTTCCACCCTTTGAAGGTAATTTTCTTTTACAAGGGAAGTCGCAATCTAGAAATAGGGAAAAGAGTTATGCAGGAATTGGGATTCGAATTCCAAATTTGGATGTCACTTCCTAAAAGTGGTTTCATAATATAATTAAGCTAAACTCCGAATTTGAAGGCAATTTCAGATACACACTCCACTCTACCTGCATTTATATACGAGGAATAGAATATATAGCAAGCTATGGTCTGTGGCCTATGTGTATGGGCTATCAAAGTTGTAATATTACTACAAGTGAAGAATGGCCTCCTCAGTCTTCAGTCCTCAAACCCACTCTAGCGTTCAAAACTGAAAGAGGAGATAATCTAAGTTTGAATGCCTTGTGGTTACGTATATTATGAAGTTATTGATAGGATTATCACTTCTTGTTACTGAATCAATCAAATAAAATGGGATTGAGAAATGGCTTTTGAATTTTGATGCAGTAACATTAGTTCTTTAAAAATGTGATGGTTTTCTATTCAAATCTACTGATTTGATAGTCTTTACTGCAGAGGGTTCTGCGAATTCCTCGTTTGTTCGCCCAAGAAATCAATGCAAAAGAACTGAACCAGGTTTTTCTATTCAGCCTCTCTAGCTGATCTAGGCTTTGCTTGTTTTTGACAAGCAAGTTTATTGATTTGCTTGCATAATTGTTCTATCCTTTACAGGATGCAAGAAGATTTTAGTTGGTATAGAAACCCCTCCTCCACCTAATATGAAAGGCTTCTTTGGTTCAATTGGATGTTACAAAAAGAAAGCTTGTATATTTATGGCCTACCGCAACAACTAGCCCCGCTTTTCCATTGACAAAAATGGAACCATTAAAGTCAGCAATCTACGCCGCAAGCCAACCCCATCTCTCTTTGCTTCTTTAACAGGAAAGACGTGATAAGATTATGATTCTTAAACCATTGCCACAAGAAACTTTGGTCGGTCGTTCTGTAGCAGCCCAACCTCTCACAAAGAAAGATGCTGCCAACTTTTTTTAATTCCCCTTACAGCAAATTGACTGCCTATAATGGAAACACTATGGCAGAGAAGAAAAGAATATTGATCAATACTGGTCATGCCTATAGCACTCGAATAATGACTTATTAAGCTCTTTCTTAACAACTGCGAACTTCTAAATTGACAGATTCTCATGCAAAACATACTAATTATTTAACATGTCATGCAAACATATTTGGTATAAAATATACGATCAACACACACTTCTTATCGATTAAAATGATGATAAGTACTAATCCCTCAATTCGCTGAAGCTACCCTATCATTAAATGACAGCAATAAAGCATTTGTCTGTAATGTTTGATTTGAGTAGAAGATCATCTCGATGCTGTCCTCTGTGTGTACATTACATGTGGTACACATGTGAGTTGTCTTTGACCCAACTTGCATTGGGTCCTACTGAGAAAAAAAATGATGCTCACGCTTGTGACAATCTGATGAAGCAAGTTTCTTTTATCATGTATCTAACCAACCAATCCATTCTCAGCAGTTTATGATGCTCAAATTGCGTTGCTGCAATGGCTATAGTTTTCCTTTTTATGGATCTTTTAATTTGGATATTTGGATCTAGATGGGAAAACCTGAGGTGGGAGAGTCTAGGTAAGGTAAAGTAAAAAAAAAAATGTTCCTCTTCTTTGGCTCCAGTGGCTGACAGGAAGAATCTTATTCTCATCATCCCTTGAGAAGTTGCGTTATTCAAGCCTGAAAATATGTAGAAAAACCTTGTCTGTCTTTGTTCCCTTTCCCAACTCAACACAACACAACCAAAACCATTCTTTAACAGAAGAACACATTGATTATACAGAATCATTTTGAATTAAAAGACAGTGAGAGAGTCTCTTTACTTTTAATTGTGCCATAAAATAATGTCAATAACAGAAGCCTGTAAAAGTCAGATAGATCTGATAAATGGAAGCATATTTTAGAAGGGTATTGAGTTCTTCTGATTTTGGGAGTATATATAGGGGAGAATCAGCCCCCTTGTCCTGATGCCCTTTGCCACCAATCACCATTGTCACAATGTTATAGCTAGATAATGCAGAACCCACTTTTTACTTCTTTCCTTGGATGCCTCTGTTTTGAATGTAGTTCTTTCATATTCGTATCAACTTTTGGTCATCTTTCTGTCTCAAAAACCATTTGCCTTTTGATAATAAAAGCTTAAATACTTGGCAACAATTTGTGCCACCACTTTTCTCTCACTATGATTGTTTCAAATTTGAAGAAAACTAATAAATTAGGATAAGGAGGGAACAATATCATGGGTTAAGGTTTGGGATTTGCTTGCAGAACACAATTTCTCAAGTCCTTGAAACAGTTAAATTTTCCATTTCTTTTTCCTTTTTGCGCATTTTTCATTTCTTGCACAACACTTAAGAAAGATCTGATACAAAGTCTAGCGAACTGTTTTCACTACTTTCTTATACAACCATTTGAGTAAGAACTAATGAAAGCACTGCTTTCTTCCTGATCTAATCCATTGGAAGAATCCTCAGTAATTTCACTTGAACTTGGTGAACTTGGTTGAGGAGGAGGAGGACCAAAGATAGAGCAGTCTTCCAATGTAAAATCGATACAACTAGGCACGGTCACCACACTAGTAATCTGACTATTATTAGAAATGACTCCATGTTTTTTAACTTTTCGCGTCCTCTGAAATACCCGGAAAACTAACCAATCTCTGAACAATTCCCTCTTGGACATCTGCAAATATGGCAAATCCATAGCTAAGATAACGATTTTTATCAAAGTTTTTGATAACTGCTACTTATACTTGCAGATATGAGATGTACTAAAAAGTTTGTTGTTATATTACCAGAGTTAAATTAAGAGTTACCACAGAGCCAACAAGGTGAAACTGATGCAAGAGCCATCGAGTCTTAGTCTCATTAGAAGGGTTCCTTTCACGGAAAATCAAAGCTTTTCTCATCCCAACTACTTGATTGCTTCCAGAAGCTAAAATTGGTTTCTCTTTGCCTACGGGCTTCCAGTAACCAGAACCAGCTTCTACTCTCTTGTATTTGTTGTTACCGTCATTACCATATCTGGTACTAAAGAAATACCTATTTTCTTTCAAATTACCTGAAACCCACAAAAATTAAGATCTTTTAGACAACCCCTCCTTATTTTATGCTCAAGCTGCAAGTATATAGCACATGTTGCATAATTGTAGACAGCTTTGTTTCCTAAGCTTTAACAAGGCTTTGCATTATTAGTTACCATAACTTCCATTATCGCATGAATCCTCAAAGAGTAACAGTATCAAGAGAATTTGAAGGATAAGGACATGTACGAAGGATCTGATAAACAGAATATTAATAGACTAAAGTTGGGTTTCAAAGAACTAGGAATTAGAAGCACTAGTTATAGTTGATACTAAAAGCGCATTATTAACTCTGAGAAACTAATGGGAAACTAACTAACCTGGCAAGCTCCAAGGATCAGTATGGAAAACATCAAACTCAGGAATGACAGAAGCAGGTAGCGGAAGATTTAAGGCCTTTCTCTTCAAGTAATGAACCACAAGCTCTTCATCTGTAGGACGAAACCTGTAGCCTAAGGGCATCTTGATCCCTCCATTTGCAGCAAAGTTTTGACTTTCCATGCTTCAAATTCTCAGAAACCTCCTCAACCAGCTAGCTTAAGTTTGTATGTTGTACTTCTCTGATATATCAACCAACCAAACTAGAGCCAGCTTAGCTAATTTAAATCAAGCAAAGTAACCCATGTGGGATTGGAATGTGCAAAGAGAGAGAGAGAGAAAGAAAAGGCAACTAACAAAAGGAAGACTTTTGTGGGTTTAATGGGATTGTAGGGAAGCTGCTTATATACAGAGAGGAGAAGAAATCCAATTGCCACAGTTCAAACAAACTCCTCTTGTTCCTACTCGGAGCTCCTTGCTAAAAAACCCATTGCTTTATGTCGACGGGTCGTTTCTGACACAAACGTGTAAGAAAACTTCTAGCCTTTTCCTGTTTTTGGTCATGGAGCCCACCGCCCTTCCGCTCTTTCTACAGTGAGCCCCACGTGTGTCACATTGGTGCTGATTTTCTTTGAAGTGGAGCCCCTCATTTCAAGGACCCTCCAAAAGATCCGAGGGTCCAAATCAGTTTTCTTTGCATCTCAATCGTTCGTTTGAAATACCATAAACTCAATATGACAGAGGATAACATTAATAAGATTAATAAAAATGATGACTGTGTAAATCAACATTCAATTAATCTTATTCATGGTTTATTTATGCCAAGTTGAAAGAATTTATCGTTACAATTCAACCAAAGCGAAGTGGGGCCTTCTTGTGTCCCAATTCTTCAAGGTTGACGAGATAAAGATTTTGTCGTTAGATTTTGTTTTGGTTACCTGTTTGTACCAAAACCCTTCAGCTAGATCATATATATATAGATATGCATGGTTTTTAATATATCTTATGATTTATGAATTCGTATTATATAAAATATAAAAATTTATATATTTATATCTTATTTTATATTAAAATTATTTATCATAATTTATGTTAAAATAAAAATATAAAATATAATTTTTTTATTTTATTAAATTCATATATAATTATTACTATAAATTTAACTCATATAATTATTTTATTTTATTTTTATATCATATCATTTATTATATTTTAAATTGATAGCTGTAATTTTTACTTATTACGTACCCCATTATAATAGCAAATTTTGGACTTAAAATTAAAGGTTATGCCGACATAAAGCTTAAAAGACGAGTTTTTATTCCCTACGACTACTAGATTTGTTTCATAACTTTGTTGCTTATATATTTTTTTGGTGTGGAATATTATCATTTATCTTTAGACTTTTCCGTCTTTTACAGCTGCCATTCCCACTCTCCCAGTATTTTTCACTATACAATTCTGGAAAGAATCAAAGATAAAAAGAAAAAAAAAAAAAAGAGAAAAATTGGGTAAAATTAATGGAAATTACTAAATACTAATTAATTGACCGTTTTACCTACCTCAAGTTAGGTAGAAGACTGATTTTAGGGTGAAAAAATCCAGTTTAGCATAGATAGAAATTACCAAACCTTCTTTTTATTCTTGCAATATTAATGAGAAACTTCATATAACATGTCATTACAAAATATTCATGCCATGAAATGTCACATCCATGAAAAGGTTTTATATATTCTTTTAGTTATATTACTTGAGTGCTATTTGCTTCATGTAGGATGTTGAATTCAAGTCAAGTATTCAAAAACATGTGAAAGCATGAATGAAAATCATTCATTAAAAGACAAAACTTGATTACTAATTCACTTATATTTGTTTAGTGGAAATTCATGAACGTTAAGCAAACCCAAATTTGACATTTCACAATAAGAGTTCCAATCCCAAAACGACAACCATTCTTTTCAAAATAGTAGTCAATCATCCTCATGAAGAAACAAAATGACGAAGCAACAGGCAAACGAAGATAAAAAAAGAAAAAAGCCTCTCGTTTTTCCTACGTACCTTTCCGTACTAATAAAAGAAAATGCCTCTCATTTCTACCTTTAGTACGCTTCATTTGACTTTTGATGCTTATGTTTTATGGCATCATTGGGATGGTTTAGAATTCAGTCGCAAAATGTCAAATCAATGCTAAAGGTTTATTTGAACGGAAAGATGAAAATGTTTTAATGAGTTTTAAATAACGGTTAAAAGAAAATTTGATTATATAATTTTTAATATAAAAATAATAATTATGAGATGAAATAAAAAATTTTATTAAAAATTTTATTTTAAAAATATTTATTTATAAATTATTTTTTATATATTATAATATTATTTATAATATTTAAAATTTAAAATTTTTATTCAATGAATATTATATAATTTAGTTTATTTATTATATAAATAAAATTAATTTTTTATATTAAATCAATAAAGTTATTATTTTAAAAATTTTAAATAAAATTAAAATAAAAAAAGGAATTATAACAAGACGAAAAAGAGATAAAGATGAAGGATTATGGGCTAAACGAGATTGCAGGGCTGCGGTGAAAATGGACTTTTTTTTCACTGGAACTTTCATCTCCAGTTACTGACCGGAGAATAAGGCTCTGTTTGGTTTTAACTGTACCTCTAATAAGGTGCAGTTGCCAATAAAATTCGTGTTCACTAATGTTTAACATTTGTTTGGAAGTTAAAGTTGTGTCACGTTTATCTATTTTTCTTCACTGGAAGATTTAGCTTCAGTTGAAAAAATGCATTGGTGTTCAATTTTTTTTTCTTTTATTTTATATTACAAAAACAAAAATATCCTTATAATTTATTCTTTGTTTTTATTTAAAATTATAAAATAAATTTATTAATTTTTTATAATAAATAAGTTTTATTTTTTAAATAATAAATTAATTAATTTTTAATTAATTTTATAAATATTAAATAATTTAAATTTTTTATTAATATAATTTATTTTCTAATATTTTTAATGATATTTTTTTTTCGCTTTACCATTATTATTACTTTTACATCTAAATATATATATTTTATAATTAATTATAATCTTATCATTATAATATTTAATTTTATCATTACAATAATTAATTTTATTTCTATCACTATTTCCAATATCATTAAAGTCAATCTCACTTTCACCAGCTATATCCAAACGTATGATTTGAACTAAAAAAAGAAAGACAATCGCGCCTCAATTGCGCTAATCGTCCATCTAACGAAGGCTAAATCAACCACGACAATGACATTTTGACGATGGATCAAAACCCACCATAAAATAATCCCATATGTTTTCGTTTCAAGTAATACAAACCCTTGGTTTTTTTCTCCCACATCGAAATGTGGAACTTTTGAAGAACAAAACACCTCTAGAGGCGTGTTTGAACGCACTGACTTTGATTTGTTTCAAAGAGACAAATGTTTTGAAGATGAATATTTGAGTGTGCAATTAATGAGATTGGTCAGAATTGTGGAGGGGAAGAGACTTTTTCTCTCCTATAGCCAGCCTTGAAGTTGACAATTTCGCCAAGAGATTGGGTACATTGTCAGTATAATCTTCCCATTCTTCTTTTATTCTCCTGAGAAACATTTCCCTTACTAAATTTATCATTTGCTTTAGTCGCCAGCTGTTCGATCATATCTTTGAAAGATCCTTTTGGTCGGTGTCTTCCCCAACATATCATTGATTTCTATGATTGTTGTAATCACAAAGATGCATTGTTTTTTTCCACAAATTATTAATCATTAATTTTTCATTTCTTTCATACTAGTCCTATTACGTTTCCCTCCTATAATTAATTGTATTTAAATTAGATTTGAATTCCACCGCATTTTTAATGTAATATGATAATTAGTTGAATTTAAATATTAATTTTAATAAAATTTTTTATTAAAATTTTTTTAATTATAATTATAGTAATAATTATTATTATTTTTAATTTTATCAAACTAATCTAACTGTCGTATCATGAATCATAACATTTACTTTAAAAAAGAATCATGCTGAAATGGAAATGTGTGAATGCCAACAATAAAGTAGGTTGGCTGGTAGGGAGGAAAGAAAAAGAGGGAGGAGAGGTTATATACACTGATATATAGTTTACGTGTAAAATCATTTCCCCTTATCTTACATATATATTATTGCTATCATGCAACCCTAGCTAGCTAAAGCCAAATCTCAATAATCTCCATAGTTGAGACGAACAACAAAAGCGACAAGTGAAAGTTATACCCATAAAAACAAAGGGGAATTCAATACAAGGAACATGCATGCATGCATCACTTCTACTGTAAAATTGGCCTACTTATTTAGTACAGGTTACTGCTATATATCTACTTGCTAGCAGCAGCAGTAGTGGGTAATTTTAAACATCAACCTAAGCTTTAATAACTTAGCCTAGCTAGAGGTCTAGTCCCTCTTTGTAAATTTGAGAGAAAATATAGAACTACTGAAACCCTAAACTTGGAGCTGGATTTTCAGTCCACCTAGCTTTATGAAAGGAGGGAAATCAGACTTTTTCTTATTCTATTCATACCCAAGCCAAACTCTCGTGAAAAAAATACATATATAGCCATATTATGAAGGGCTAAAAAATAATTACATAAGGTCGGAGTGATTACTTGATTTGCTAGGATCTGTATTCGACCACTTATATATTCATCACTTTTGCTGTAAAATATACTACAATTTCATATTACTAATTGAAAGATAGATTAAAAAGTAAACTCAAGCAATCCTTCATGCCTTGTCCCCAATGAAAATTGGGATGGAAATGAAGGCAAATTTTGAAAAGTTAAAAGGCAGGTTATCAAGCTTCCCGGCTCTTTCCAATTCATTCAAATTTGGATGCTTTAGATAAGATGGGATTAACCCAACAGGGAAGCCCAAACCCATATAAGCCAATCCTAACAGATTTGTTCAATGAAAGTATTTTATAATCACGAGCAAGCATGCATGTCAATTGCCATCACAGAAAATAAGATATTGATAATGCTCTTGGTTTTTTTTTTCTTGGCACATACACACAGAGAAAGAGAAATATATCAAATTTGTGTTATTGTCTATTTCAGTTGCATAACTTTGTAATTTCAATTACGCTCTAATTATACATGATTTTGACGTGTGTTTTCACTCCAACTACGAGTAAATGGTTAAACTTTTTTGAGATAGAATTTTAATTAATTTTCATCATTGTGCATAGACAGTAACTTTGCTAACATCGATGCAGATCATGTGTTAACTATATATGTCGGAAAAAAGAATTGGAGGTTGGCCAGAAAAACATGTAAATGTCCAATATACTCCAGATGTCGAACAGTCAGCCGACAGCAACCAAAAGCTTTGTCAAAGCATACAAAAGATGAAGCAACTGCCTATGAAGAATCAATTCCTAGATTTGGTTATTCCATTAGTCACAACAAAAACTTTGCCACGCCAGCCTCACTTTTCTTGTTTCCATGCCTTTTCTTTTTCAGTTTCTTGCTATTCTAGAAAAAATTTTAGCTTTAGCTTTATCTTTTCTCTGCATCATTACACATATATGGTTTGCATTAGCTCTTATTATTTATTTATGTCTTTTTGAGATTGTATATTGTGGGTGCTTACAGAATCAAATCCATTGTTTCAAATATGTAATTTTCATAGTGATAAATGACAATGCAGAAACACTGCCAGACTAGCGAAGATAAATCACTGAACTGATATTCGTATCCCTACAAAATTTTGGTATTCCTCAAAATATGCGGCAAAAGATGAAGCACCTGCCTATGAAGAATCAATTCCTAGATTTTGGTTATTCAAAAACTTCGCCACGCCTGCCTCACGTTTCTTGTTTCCATGCCTTTTCTTTTTCAGTTTCTTGCGATTCTAGAAAGAATTTTAGCTTTAGTTTTAGCTTTATCTTTTCTCTGCATCATTACACATATATGTATATGATTTGCATTAGCTCTTATTATTTATTTGTTTCTTTTTAAGAATGAAGGCTTATTCAACATTCCTTTGAGATTGTATATTGTGGGTGCTTACAGATTCAAATCCATTGTTTCAAACACTGCCAGACTAGCTTAAGATAAATCACTGAACTGAAATTATGATAGATAATTAGTCTTTTCTTCGTATACCCTCTTTCCATTTGCATGATAGTATCTAACAGAAAAAAATAGAAAAAGAGACATTTTTCTTCTTTTTTTTTTTCACTACTAAATTTTGCTATGCATCAAATATGCGGCCAAGTGATAGACACCAATGGTTCGGGGAATGAAAATGATAGTATGAAAGATTTTCCACCTTAAAAATAACAATCTATCTACAAACGTGTTATTGGGTTACGGCCCAGAAGGAAACAATTGGCAAAACTATAGTGTTAGAGGCAAGAGTTAGTGTTGTATCAACTCTGGAATTAGCTTCAAGAGAAATGAGAGCTCCTGCTGTGAGAACTGAAGCTTTGATTTTGCCTCGGTCTCCCCATTCCCTTCACTTAAACCCTCCTCTGCATTAACTGCTTTGGCAGGCTTAATCATGTCAGCCACTGCCTGTGAGATCTCTTGAAGAAAATCAACTATCACTCCATCAATTCCCATTAAATGTTGCATGTAAACAGCCTCAGGCACATTGCTGCAGTAAAAAGCAAAATTCAAAGTTAGATGGAACATTCCAAGCATTAAAAGTAGCCTGTCCAGCTTTAGAGTATGAACAGATTGGAGAAGAAATGCAAGATTTGACTGTGAGAAAACTTTTGAAACAGTCTAAAAGCATATCAGAACTTTATGATGGCCTAACAAGGTCAAACCTTCCAGGCTGCTGGAAGGATGATGATTTACTAAACATATTGCAGTTTAGGAACTTACTTGAGTTTGCCGTATGTCAGGAGAGAGAGCTTAGACTCCTTGATCTTAGGCACTGCTCCTGGGTTTCTGAACACTCCTTTGGTCTCTGAAACAATCCCTTGTAAACCTCCTTCCAAGCAGACCTTTATGGCCTCCTCCAGGGAATTCCTCCTAATATCATAGCAAAGTTCGGTCCCACCATTTGTTAAGAAGAAAACCTGTTGATTTTCCACAGATAAAACATTAATTAAAATAGCCTAAAAGTAGACACAGATCATATTGTACGTTGCATTAAGAATGTTGCTAGAGTCCTTACAGGATAGTTGTTCTGCAACTTCCTAACAAGTTGAGCTGCATCAGGCTGAAAGCTAGAGAAGATTATGGGCCTATCTTTAGCAAACTCAAACACCACCTGTCACAAAATTCACAGCAATTAAGAACAAAATTCTTTACCATTCCCTAAAAAGGAAAAAGAAAAACTATATGTGAATCTCATCCTTAAATATGTACCTGCAAAATGACTTGTAGAACATGGGTGAGATGGTCTTGCTGATAAACAATATTGTCATCAAATTTCAACTCAATATTGAAACCTAAAGAAGGCTCAACTTTATGGAAAGCTTCTTCCAGTGTACAAAGTGAATCATCAATTTCAACATTCCACTTAACAATTTTCCCATCTTTTGTTTTCCTCAACAAACATTTCCCATCTTTCCCTGCTTCTCTCTGGGGTCCATAGCGAAGAAATTCTGCTAAACACAACTCTGCGACTCTCTTCTCAAACACTGTACCCTGGAATACCAAATTAAATTTCAGAAACACTGTAAATAAAAATTAACCTTGGTAATTACTACACATTTTATAAAGGAATATATATATATATATATATACACATTCACAGATATATATATATATATATATATATATATATATAAAGAGTAGAAGATAAGAAAAGTGAACATACATTTTCTTCAGAGAGGATAAAATCGTCATGGAAAATGACAGGGCAGTCATCTTTTGTCACCTACAAAAAACCACAATGGCTTTCTTTACTTTCCTGTGATTGGCTCATTGCCATTTTTTCATCACCACCACACTCGTTTTTTAATTTCATAAAAACAAAATCTTTTTTTTGTTTTATTAAAAAAACCCAGAAAAAAAACACCATCAGTAATCTTTCACTTGAAAAGCAAAACTACATCCTACCAACAGAAAAAAAATAAAATAAAATAAAACTATTACTCCAATTAACTGATTAAGGCAACACAGACTCAGGTTTTAATTTTTGTTTTTCAAAAAGAAAAAGATAAATAAAGCTAGTAAAACCTTTCGTAAACGCGCTTGTAGCCACGTGGAGAAGAAAAAGACCCACCCCCCGGCCCACCTACATTAGACAGAGACAAAAAACCTTGTCGTACGTGGTGAGTGCACGACCGCTAACGACAAAACCACGTGGTCTCATATTTTTTATCTAACTTCTAAGATTTCGGTTCATTTAAAGACGACGACGACAACAACAACGCAAAATTATCATAAGAATTTGAATTGTTACCTGAACGTCAAATTCAATAAAATCAATGGGAAATTTAGCAGCAGAGTTGAAGGAGAGGATAGAGTTTTCTTTAATGGCTTTCATTCTTGAATCAGAGCTTTGTAAAAGGTTCATGCCATGCCCTCGATGCCCTATTACCAAAAACTTTGGTATCCTAAACGACGCTGCCCTGTTCAACTCCAACCCTACACCCAAACAAAGAAAAGTCTCATCATCAGACGGTTCATAGTTCGTACATACATATATTCATCAACAGCAAAACAAAGAACAACCCAGATGATAATCTTGATCATGTAATCTTAAATTTGAACGTACCTTTGGAGAAACGGGTGGAGTAGAGAGAGAAAGAAGCGCTTTGTGGGACTTGGTCGAGGTTTGGGACGTCGGAGACATGAAAAGCTTTAAGAGCCATTGTTATAAAAACTAAAACAGAGGGTGAGAATTGGACAGACGAGGGATTTTGAGGATTGTTGCGAGGATTTAGAGAAGAAGGGTGTATTTAAGGAGGAATACCCTCCAATTCTGCAAAATATGCCTCAGGATATTCTCCCTTATAACTTCATTCTCAAGTTACCGGTTGACAAGTCAGCTTATTCCGTTAAACTTAACGGTGGTTTATCTGGTACTCCCGGGTGCATGAGAAGTTTCGTTGGAAATTTGTTCTTTTTTATTTTACAGTCAAATAATTTTCTTTAGAAGCTTCATTTGTTGAAGCGGCGAGAATTGAGACGTTGTCAACGCTGTCGATAAGGAACTTTGCCAGGTGATTTTGACAACTCATTGCACGCGCTCTGGACGTATGATTATTGATTAGAATAAGTCAACGATGGGGTGGCAGCCAAGCCAGCAGCAAGCATTGGATAAGGTTCTCTGCGTTGGTTGTTTGTATGATGTGTTTCCAGGGCAGACTTACCTGTCAAGATTGGGGGATATGACCCTAACTTTGGAAGAAGTTTTGTTGAGATGTGGCGGCCATGTATATATATATTTTTCTCAATTATATATCGTGTTGATTTGAAGACGTGTTAGGGGGCGGTGGAATTATTTGGATCAAGTTTGTTGGAGATATGAGCATTGCATCTGGGGATTTGGTATGACAGGCCCAATAATGGGAACATAGAAGTGTAGAAGTCGATCCCTCTGTATAGGTGCCAAGCCCTTGAGAGGTAGTCCAGTTCTCCATTCTATTAGTATCATCTCTATATTTTCATGGACAATCACCTATTCTATTCACAACACCTTGAGATTTCTCAATTCAAACCTCACTTGTTTATCTATTTTGGCAACATAAACCTCACTTGTTTTACTCAAATGCCAATGCGGCTGACAATTTGAAACTCCTTAAGTATTGCTTTCAAGATCAGCATGTTCGATTACTAGGAAGAAGTATATTGGTACAAAATTCACTGCCCATGCCCAAAGCCCCAAACATCTCAATTATCAGACCGTCTAAACGCCAGTGATGCTAATGGAAACTTCCATCCTGCCTTATGTTGTTAGTATCCATCAAGTCCACCAGGCCACCAGTTCACTATGGTCCTTTAACTTCACGATTTAGATTTGCTGAAACCTAAAGTTAGGGTGAGAAAAAATTTGATAAATTCAAAAATTAATTTGAAATTGGATATTTGATCTGGTTTGGATCAAATTTTTTATTCGATTCAAATTAAGTTTTAGTATTAATATATATATTAGATTCGAATCACATTCAAATTAAAAAATAAAAATTGATAAAAATTAAATCAAATCAAATTATATTTTTTTAATTTTAAATATATTTTAAAAATTTTAAAATAAAATTAATAATTTTATATTAAAATTAAAAAAATTAAAAATTAATAAATCAAATTGTTTGATTCGATTCAGTTTTTGATTAGGTTTGAATAGAATGAAAATTTAATTTAAACTCAAATTAAATTTTAAAAATTTAATAATATTATATAATGTCTAATAGAGCTAAAGTTTCCGTACATACGAGAAGCAAAAACTTTAGGACCCTAAGTAACCTACTGTTCGTGCATGTATTGCCCATTGTGCCCCATAGCATAACGGTGACCTTAGAGTTCAAAACATTGGGAAAAAGTTAAATAGAATAAAAATTCTCAGCTTTCCCTTTCTCATATCTATGCTATATGGTTACCTTTCCTGTAAGTCCGGAGGTTTTCAGGGTTGAAAAAAAAAACTCACTCCAGAGATGAAAAAGTAAGAAACAGAAACAAACGGATAGATGAATAAACTAGAAAGAAAAAAAATGCGCTGAAAGACATTAAGATGAGAAGGTGATAATAAATGAGAGGGAAGGAAGATGAGGAGGGTGCATTAATGGTGAAGCCATGGGTATTAAATATTTGCTGAGAGGGTAACTTAATTGCTTGCGTTTATCGCTGCTATTGTCTGTTCGTCCTCTAGGACTCTGTGTGCCTTTCATTGTTAACCCCATCTCTCTCTGTCTCTGTCTCTCTCCCCTGCAACCCACTCCCCCAGATCCCATTTAATGCTCTCTCTCTCTCTCTCTGCAGTGATTTAGTTTAATAAATCCCAAAGGTGAAATTTATAATTCATGATCTTTTACAAAATAGAATCCCATGAGGCAAAAGCCATCCAGAAAACAAGAAAAGAAAAAAAAAAAAAACAATGGTTTTACAAAGACCAAAAAGCATATCTAGTGGACAACCCAAGATATCAAAACATGCAAGAAATGCTAATAAGGGGGTGATAACTTGATATCATAAAGATAAACTCATTGGCTTTACTTCCTTAATTGTAGATTCATCAACTCAGAGTTGAGTTGGTCGAGTTTCGCTGTGACTTGGCTGAACCGTACTGAGCTAAGCTGATGAGAACCTCAGTCGAACTAGAAGCATTAGTATTGGGCTTGTTGATGAGGGTTCTTTCAGTTGTGATGAGGTTGTTTCCTGGGTCCGTTTGTTGGTGGTGGAGCTGCACAAACTGGGATCACTGATCTGATTTTAACTGCTGGGGCAATCCTATGTGGATTAAACCCTCCAGTGTAAATGTGCCGGGCCATTGTAGGTGCCTTTACAGAAGTTGGTGTCATTTGCGATGGATTTGAAGATCCAAAAAGCCTTCTGATAATCTGGCTTGCTTCAGTTCTTGTTGCACCGTCAACCATGCAAGTATTGAGTTTCCCAGTACTGGATATTGGAACTGGCCTGTATATAGAAGTACTACTATTTGAAACTAAATTGCTAGAACTTGAACCTTCCTTTTCAATGGTCTTGTTGATGACATCTTGTTTGACAGCAAGCCATTCTTCCTCATCCAAATGATCTTCCAGTGGAGGAGGCAGTTTCACTTCTGATTTACCCCTAATTTTTATTGGAATGCGTCTGTTAGATGAATAGTTAAATAGACTGTCTCTAGATGAAGTTGGTGGTAAGATCTTTGAAGCTATTCTAGGTGGGGGTGGAGGAAGGAAAGATAGAAAGCTGTTTTGTTTTTGTGTCGAAACATCC